TTTTTTTTCATAAAGAAGTAGGTTATTTTACTATTATTTCTAACGTCCTTCTATAACTCTTCATTTGAGTTTTTCTAAAGTAAATGAGTATAGTAAGAGAGGAATAACAGAAACAAATTAAGAAATATTTACGAGAAGATAAGACTTGTCATACTGAGAAATACTGCTGAAGGCACTGACCCCAAAGATGAATACCTTACTTGTGAATCACTTGAATCCAAAAGTATGGACACAGCGCTGTATGCCCATGTCCCCCTTTCCTTTCTGCCAACCTTCTTCTCTCGTTCAAAAGGTGGTCAAGCTACATAGAACCACAAAATCTAACAAGTGTCTCAGAATTCTTCCTCATGGGACTCTCAGATGACCCAGAACTTCAGCCTTTCCTCTGTGCCCTCTTCCTGTCCATGTACCTGGTCACTGTGCTGGGGAACCTGCTCATCATCCTGGCCATCACCTCTGACCCCCACCTCCACACCCCCATGTACTTCTTCCTTTCCAACCTGTCCTTGGCTGACATCAGTCTCATCTCCACCACAGTCCCCAAGGTGATTGTGAACATCCAAACTCACAGCAGAGTCATCTCCTATTCAAGCTGCTTGACACAGATGTCTATTTTTATCTTTTCTGCGTGTATGGATAGTATGCTTCTTACTGTGATGGCCTATGACAGGTTTGTGGCCATCTGTCACCCACTGCATTACATGGTCATCATGAACCAACGCACCTGTAGCTCCTCAGTTTTGGTGTCTTTTTTTGTTAGCCTTTTGGACTCCCAGCTGCACAATTTGATTGTGCTACAAGTTGCCTGCTTTAAGGATGTGGAAATCTCTCATTTCTTCTGCGACCCTTCTGAAGTCCTCAAGCTTGCCTGTTCTGACACTTGGATTAATAACATAATCATGTATTTCTTTGGCACTATCTATGGTTTTTTTCCTATCTCTGGGATCTTTTTCTCCTACTATAAAATTATTTCCTCTGTTTTGAGAGTACCGTCATCAGGTGGGAGGTATAAAGCCTTCTCCACCTGTGGCTCTCACCTAGCAGTTGTTTGCTTATTTTATGGAACAAGCCTTGGTGTGTACCTCACCTCAGCCATCTCACAATCTCCCAGGAAGTATACAGCAGCCTCGGTGATGTACACTGTGATCACCCCTATGCTGAACCCCTTCATCTACAGCCTAAGGAACAAAGACATCAAGAGTGCCATATGCAGGCTTATCAGTAAAGCAGGCTAATATCAGCTTGTGTGCAATTCTTGTTGAAATTCATTTTGAATTATGGATTGAAACAATGAGTGAAACTAAACATGTAGACCAGCAAGATGGTTAGTTAGCATCACTGACTCAATGGACATGAATTTGAGCAAGCTCTGGGAGATAGCGGGGGACCAAGGAGCCTGGTGTGCTGAGGTTCATGGGGCCACTAAGAGTTGGATGTGACTTACTGACTTAATATTTTTTCAGTTCATGGTTTTGATTCTTCCCCAAGTTTCATATATGAATATTAATTCTTTTGATTTGTCTTTAATTGGATTGGGGGAATATTCTGAGATCTTTTGTATATCATATTGAATACATAATAAAGTTCCTCTCAAAACCCTGGTATTCAAATGAAATGTACAACTCTTTTTATATACTTAAAATTTACATCCTCAGCTGAGTCCCTTTGCTGTTCACCTGAAACTGTCACAACATTGTTAATCAAGATTCAGTTCAGTTAAGTTGCTCAGTTGTGTCTCACTCTTCACAACCCCATGGATTGCAGCACACCAGGCTTCCCTGTTCATCACCAACTCTTGGAGCTTGCTCAAACTCATGTCCATTGAGTTGGTGATGCCATCCAACCATCTCATCCTCTGTCATCCCCTTCTCTTCCTGCCTTCAGTCTTTCCCAGTATCAAGGGCTTTTCCAATGAGTCAGTTATTCACATTAGGTGGCCAAATAATTGGAGTTTCAGCTTCAGCATCAGTCCTTCCAATGGTTATTCAGAACGGATATCCTTTAGGGCTGATTGGTTGGATCTCCTTGCAGTTCAAGGGACTCTCAAGAGTCTTCTCCAACACCACAGTTCAAAAGCATCAATTCTTCAGNAGGTAAGGTGGTCCGGTATTCCCCTCTTTTTAAAAATTGTCTGCAGTCTTTGTGATCCACACAGTCAAAGGCTTTGGCATAGTCAATAAAGCAGAAATAGATGTTTTTCTGATTTTCTCTTAATCAGCTATATCCCAATACAAACTAACAAGTTAAAAGAAATTAATCTCAAGGAATACCATACCAAAAAAGTTTGCATCCTTTTCCACGGTTCTTTTAGGTAAGTAGAATAGGAAAAAGGAGTCCAGAGTGGTGGTGGCTAAAGGACAAAGAAAGGAAAGCCTGTGAAAACAGAACAAAGGAAGGTCTGAGGACCACAGTGAGAACTTCAGGTAAAACAAACAGCCCTCCTAGCTAGTTCAATGTACATAGGGCAGGCTCAGGGGGAGGAGAAAAAATATATAAAAAGAAGAGCCAAAATTGAGCTACCTGAATTTTCACTTCGCTTCTTTTGAGTCGGTCTGCCCTCACGCCTTGAGGATGTATTTTCCTTTGCTTGCCAAATAAAACTGAGCTGTAACCAAGCTGTAACACTTGTCCATCTGTTGCTTCAAATTTTTGCTGTGGTGAGATAGAACCAAGGAAATTACACACTCCCCCAACATCTCAGGTGCTGTTTCTCAGATTTAACCTGGCTGAAACAGCCATGGCTTGGCCCCATGAGGTGGAGGCCAAGCGCACCAGAAGCCCAATTCAGTGAAAGCTCCTGTGGTGGAAGCTGAATGCAAAGAAGACCCAGCTCAGGGGAAGTGACAGGAAGCCCAGTGTGCAGGAAACCAGGACAGCAAAAACAAACTGCAGAAAGTTCATGCAGCTCAGTCTCAGATTCCAGGAGACCTCCAGTTAAGGTAGGAGGTCCTTGCTCCTATGGCTGGAAGGACGTATGACTAACAAAATCTTAATTCCTTTACAGTCTCTCATTTCTTGTTTCCCTGAACCCCCTGTGAACAGGCGAGCGGCACTGGTGCAGCTGAGGGACTCTGACAAGGGCTACTCCCTAGTGTGTCCCAAAGGCTCCACTGTCTGCTGTGCCCTAGTAGCTGCTGCCCACGTAGGTGAGGATTCTTCTGTCCTTAATCTCCTTTGTGCCAAGGATCAGGCCAATGAAAACTGAGCACAGGTCAGGTATTTAGCAGATTTTCCAGCAGGTTATGAAGGGGATTCCTTGGTATGCTTCTTCCACTGCTTTTCCCTCCCATCCTTCAGCTCCTCTCTCCATCTATGCCACTGCTTACAAAGTATGGGGAAGGTCTTCACCTTCCCATTTCTGAAAGCTGTGTTTGAAACTGATTACCTAAGATTGGGTACCTAAGTCCCACAACTGTGGGACTATTAGTTGTGGGACTGTGCCCAGTCTCAGCAATAACTCAGGAGCCCAAAGAGAACACAATCGCCTTCCTGAAAGGCTAAAAGAGGCCTTCCAAAAGTTTACGAATCTGGACTTAGATTCTTACAAGGGACAGGTGGTTTAAAAAGACAAATTTCTGTCCCATTGTGCATCAGATGTCAGGATAAAGTTACAACAGCGACAGCAGCAGGACCCTGCTGTCTTTTTAGTTGAGATGGTCCAGACAGCCACCAATACCTTTTATAACAGAGAACAGGAGAGGGAGTCCAAGGCCCAGGAAAGAGAAAGAAAGAAAGAGACAAGGCATGCCCAGATGCTGGCCGCCCACCAGGGAAGCCCTATGGCAAACCCTGAGTCCTGAAGGACAAGGCATGAGGCAAAAGCCTAATCTGTAGATAGGTGGGACACTGGGCCAAAGAGTGTCCAAACCATGACAAGTCTCCTAAAATGGTTTGCTACAAACGGGTTATCTGGCTTTCTTTGATTAACAATCATCTTTTGATGTTCAGACTACCTACCCTTTGTTGCAAAACTTCTATATAACAGGGTTCCTCCCCCTGCCTCCTCCAAGCACTTCTCTCAGGGTTAGTAGAGATGCTGTCTTCCATTCTTGAAGTCCTAAAAATTTTTGCCAAATAAAACATAACTCTCAAATTTTAGGCTGTGAATATTTTTTAGGTTGACACTTCCATACTTACCTTGTGATACTGGGGTGGGCCTCTTGAAATCACTGTGTTATTTTCCATATGGCTTTCTTCTTACATACTTTAGATAATAGTAAGTTTCACCCCACTTGAAGTTAAGTTCACTATTCCCTATATACCCCTAAAGAGTTAGTCATTCGTGTCTGACTCTTTTATGACTCCATAGACTGTATCTCTATCTATGGAATTCTCTAGGCAAGAATACTAAAGTGGGCCATTCTCTTCTCCAGGCTTTATATCACTAAGCTCTTAGTATTTATTGTGTTGCAGAAACCAGTATTGAGAACCCAAGCACCACACTTGGAGAGTTGGAGAACTCAAGTTTATTATGCCAGTGGGCCCAGAGGAGTTAGCACTCCAAGCTCTCAGCCCCAAACAAAGTGGTTACAGAGTATTTATAGACAGACTATAGTGAAAGGAATATGTCAAAGCTGTATATTGTCACCCTGCTTATTTAACTTATATGCAGAGTACATCATGAGAAATGCTGGGCTGGAGGAAGCACAAGCTGGAATCAAGATTGCTGGGAGAAATATCAATAACCTCAGATATGCAGATGACACCACCCTGATGGCAGAAAGTGAAGAAGAACTAAAGGGCCTCTTGATGAAAGTGAAAGAGGAGAGTGAAAAATTTGGCTTAAAAGTCACCATTCAGAAAACTAAGATCATGACATCTGGTCCCATGACTTCATGGCAAATAGATGGGGAAACAGAGGAAACAGTGAGAGACTTTATTTTGGGGGGCTCCAAAATCACTGCAGATGGTGACTGCAGTCATGAAATTAAAAGACACTTGCTCCTTGGAAGACAAGTTATGACCAAGCTAGACAGCATTTTAAAAAGCAGAGACATTACTTTGCCAACAAAGTTCTGTCTAGTCAAAGCAATGGTTTTTCCAGTAGTCATGCATGGATGTGAGAGTTGGACTATAAAGAAAGCTGAGCACCAAAGAATTGATGCTTTTGAACTATGGTGTTAGAGAAGACTCTTGAGAGTCCCTTGGACTGCAAGGAGATCCAACCAGTCAATCCTAAAGGAGATCAGTCCTGAATATTCATTGGAAGGACTGATGCTGAAGCTGAAACTCCAATACATTGGCTACCTGATGTGAAGAACTGACTCATTCGAAAATATCCTGATGCTGTGAAAGATTGAAGGCAGGAGGAGAAGGGTACGACAGAGGATGAGATGGTTGGATGGCATCACTGACTCAAAGGACATAGTTTGAGTAAACTCTGGGAGTTGATGATGGACAGGGAGGCCTGGCATTCTGCAGTCCATGGGGTCCCAGAGTCAGACAAGGCTGAGTGCCTAAACTGACTGACTGATAGTGGGCATCACTAGCAGCTAATAGGCTGGTCTAAACTAAGGGGTTTTGCATGAATGGTAATAGCGGTTAAAATGGGGAAGAAGATGCCTGACCTTTACAAGGATAGGTATGATTAAGCAGGATTGCAGGGGCTAGGAAACTGCAATGAGCAGGACAAGGGTGAGTGAGATAAGCTCCAGTTCTGTGTATTGTTGTGAGTCCCCACTTTCCGAGACTATGTGACCTATGCGATCCAGACTTTGCAAGGAGCAAGCTGAGTTACAGAGGCAGAACGAGCAGGAGGTTAAGTAAAATCTTAACTTTTCCTCTTCATCCCCACCTCTTGATGCCCCCTAAATCTGATAAGGCATCAACCTCTAGATCTCCTTGGCTCGGGGGCTGATAATCCTTCAGGGCTGGGAGGTGTGTGGTGGCCTTCCTGTCCGCGACAGCCTCAGCCAGACTGGAAATGGCCCTCTTGAATAATGGCAAGAGGCAAGGTCAGAGGAGACAGATCTGGCAAGGTCAGAGGAGACAGGCCCTAAGGGGGAGCAGGACTATACCCACTAGAGCCTTGAGTCCTCCTAGATAAGAGACTCATCTGCAAATATCTCTCCAGGATTTCATTCCTTTTAAGTCTGGACTGGGACATGAGTTATGTTAGTCATCTTTCTGGTTATTTTTCCCCCCATAACCTTGCCCTTATCATATATCTGTAGACACAGTTGCTCAGATTGTCTGTCTTTTCCACAGACAGCCCCTTCTAGGTGGCGAACTTTTA